AGCATATTATATTTATATAATAATATAAATATTAAATAGCAAAATATTACATTAGAAAATAAGTAAAAATAAATTATATTTATTAATATATTTATTAATATAAAATTATTATAAAAAGTTATATATAACAACTTTAAAATTATAAAAAAATATATGAAATATATTTAATTTGGTTTTCATAGTCATAAAGATATCAAAATAAATATAAAATTTTTTAAAGTAAAATAAATTATATTTATTAATTATGTGATAGAATATTATGTTTGTAATTATTATCTTTATCATATAACAATAATTTTATTCAATATTATTATTAGATTGACAGATTCAACTAGTACTTCTGGATCTACTTCTATAGTAGAACCCATAAAGAGAGTAGAACCTACAAAAGAAGCTAAAGTAGCTGGTCAAGCAGCTTTAGCAAGATTAGAAGCAAAAGAATGTAACACAAAAAGATTTAATACGTAAGTTGATTCTAAAAAAAGGATTTTTATTTATAACTTTAAATATAATGATAACTAAAAAATATTATAAAAATATATTATTTGTAGATCATATGCAGCTATTAAGGCACAAGTAAAACGAGAATTAGAGCAAGAAAGAAAAGCACAACAAAAAGCACAACAAAAAAATCATGTGCAATCAGAAGAAAAAATTGAAAATACAATTAAAGATAATTTTACATTAGCTGTTACCAATGTATGCTATCGTTGTCCATATTTATCCGATGAAATATTATCACAAGATGAATGGAAAATAAAGATAAAAAAATTTTTATATGAACAATTGAAAGGAGAAGAAGCAGGTTTAACATCATGTTTAATTATACGAAATTGTAATAGTAAGAAAGAAAAAGTTGATATTTGTGTTGAAACACTTGGAAAATATTTAGAAAATATTATAAATTATCCAGAGGAAGAAAAGTATAAGAAGATTAGAATGCAGAATAAAATATTTCAAGTAATATTTTTATATTTTATATTTTATATTTTATATTTTTATATTTTAGTAATATTTTTATTTTATTACTAGATCTATAAAAAAAAATATTTTATATAAAAATCTTTTATTCTTGTTTAATGAATATATTTTCTTTATGAATACATACATATTGAAATTAACAAAAATTTTTTTTGTTTATAATA